AAAGCTCCAGAATAAATTAACCCCGTAAGTCGAGAATTTACCGTACACTTCTGATCTGGCCTAGCTGACCAACATAACGCTCGAGCTACGATAAATCCTCCCATTTTTCTTTCGCAAGGTAATATCGCATTTGCAACTAAATCCTCGCCTTTAGTCGAGAAGCGAAACGGTTGGCCATAACGTCGTCCCAATTTAATTTAGACGCAGCCTAACCAGGACGAAGGTTAATTCCACTGTCTCTCTCCTTCTGATAGCCCGATAGCCCAGAGTTGGATTAGCATACGTTGGGATTTAAGTCGGACAACAAGAAACTGCGACAGCCCTCGAACTAATGGCTCCTTCTGTCTCCAAGATTTCCCAGGCGAAATTCATGCCTTCCTATTAGCCTTCCCAACCTGCCCAATTGTACATTCCATTGTGTAATTACAAGTAACGATGAAATATCAACCAGTGGTGAGTTTTTCAACCTTGTTATGCTGGAAAAATTAATTACAAACTGCTTACTCTTGGGAGAAAACGGAGAAGGAAAAAAGGGGATGAAGTTGCAACTTACTGCAAATTAAATGAGTCCAGATAAAATGGAAAAAATGTATTATCATTCCAAATATACTGTTTACCAAATGATGAAGAACGCCAAGAATGTCAGGAAAAAATTCTTTCTAATAAAAAAATAATAGAATTCTCATATACTTCATAATGTGGTATCAGCCTTACTCTTTAGAAAAATTAATCATAGTCTCTTTACTATTGAGTGAAGAAGGAGAAAAAAAAAAGAGGATGACGGAGCCAGGATTTAAAAACGTACGTCTGCATCCACGCAATCTATCTTCCAAAAAGAAAGTTTCAATTCACGAAGATTATAATCGTGATCGTCGAACTTGTAATGTGAAAATTGCCCGCGTTGAGAAACATTAATTGCGAAAAAGATGAATCATAGCACTTGACGATTAATCTTGTTTCGCAGCGTCGACCGCGCGGTAACGTACACGAAATCGCAGAGGATCGAAGATTCCGCTTTCGGCATACCTCGAGCAACGAGCACACGCAACAAGTTGAGTTTATTTTAGGCGAGCCACGGCTAACGACATCGCCCATTATCGTGCCGCGGAAGTTATTTAACGACGTAATTCTCAAAGGGGCTGGAATAATTGTCGCATAACAGCTGGCAGTTTCTGCGGTTTTTACATTTCTCGACGGAAATACGACGCAAAACTAGAGCCATAATTCGCAGGGTTACGGGACTCCATTGGAATCAACATTGTCGGATGAAATGCAACCATGCCGGGTAGATGGGGCTGGAAATATTTAATGCCTGTCGGAAACGAGCGTCCGCGAAAAATCCAACCAGAGTCTGCGTTTGTTATTTCGCATCGGACGTGCTGTCACAAAGCAGTGTCACTGTCTCTGGATACTCGCAGAATATCCTGACACTCGTGATACGCGGGCGACGCCGTTTCATTTTTTTCCATGTCCCTGTCGATAAAGATCAAATCCGTTCTGGAGAACTTTCGAGCTTTCGAATGCTGCTCTCCATGACACGATGTCAAAAGGCTTGAAACGATGCGCGTAATCATCATTGGGGAAGATTCTTTTTTAAGATTGAAAATCTTTTTATTTTCGAACAACCGAATTCATGTCCCGTTATATGATGAAAAATGCTGTACGGCGATGAAATGGAGTCAAAGTGGTTGTAGAGTAATAGAATTCATATGCATAATTTTTGATAGATTATACGAGAAAATATTAAAGATTTCAGACTCGTAGTGATTTACTTCATTAAACAAAAAGTTGAGAAATGCGATGAAATGGCCTCTGAAATAAATTATTTATTACCCAAAGGCAAACAAAATTTTGTCATTTAATGGTGTTAATCTTTATTGTTCAGGAAAGTTATTATAAAAAGTTACGACTATACCAAATGCTTTAAAGCTTAAATTTAAGATTTTTATAAAAATGGCGTTAATCGATTCGTGCACCGAACGGCTCATATGTTTGTCTATATTCAAAAAAAATATTTATATCCTTCTGGTACATTTACCAATACACAAGACAACAAAAATGTAGTGATACAGAATTCCAACAAGAAATTCATAAAGAAACCAATAGCAAGGAATAGTCTTACGACACAGTCTTGCGAAGTTTTGTCACTGACAGGTAAAATAACTTTACCCTAAAGAGGTAAAAAAGGTCGAGAAGTGGATCCCCGTTTCACGCATCCAGGCTTCGAAGAGAACGAGAGGAATTCGCTGGGTGGGTGCGTGCACGCGTAAAACCAGCCGCACTCGAGGCGTTAATTCTTTGAAAAGTTTTAATAACCGCAGAAATTACTGGGGAAGCCGCTCGCGAGTGGCTCTCAGCTCTCTCCCCGTTGCAAATTCTGGTGTGAAATAAAAACGGTATCTCGTCGGGTGAGCATTTCCCACGGAGGTCGGGGACGGTAATTCTTCGAGCGCGTCTCGTAAAATCCTGACGGCTCTCAGAGCACGAGCACGGAATGAAACAGCATCGCCTGAAATCTGCGTTCCTCGCCGCGGCGTGCAACAACACTCGTATCAAGAACCCCTGTTCCGTGCCGGAAAGAACGACGGCGACGGTCCAGCTGTTGCGCAAGAATTTTTCAATTTCCCTCCGTCGCGTGACTGCGATTGCATTGCGACTTCATAGCGGCCGGGGTCGTTTAGACGATTACCGCGGTCACCCCTCTCTTGATACGTTTACGGTGGTGATTTTTACATTGGCTGAGAGAAACTGGTATCGATTTAGATTCCTTCGTTTGGAAGATATCGAAAGAAGCAAGTGGGAATTCGTGGGATTGGATAACAATATTATATAAAATCAGTCGTGTCACAGTTCGATATCTATTTCTATAGATATTTTATTTAAGGGCGTATTCACATCTTCTGATTCACATCTGATCGCTTCGTTTGAAAGATATCGAAAGGAGTAAGTGGGAATTCGTGGGATTGGATGACAATATTATATAATATCAGTTGTGTCACAGTTCAATACGTATCTAGTATATTCCATTTCACTTCATATGTTTATTAGTTTGAAGTAACGATTTTGTTGTTGAAAATTAATTGTAAATTATTTTCAAGTTTCAACTCTATTCGATCCTTCACCATTCCTTGATATTCTTCAATTATTGCAAGAGATGCATAATTGTAATTACGATTTTATTATTACCCAGCAGTATATTAGATTTGCGTGACCAATTCCTAATTTTGTTAACATCATTTGAAGTTTTCTGGTTGGTTATACATTATATACAATCAGTTAAAAATAAATGTATCTCATTTTTCAGTGGTGTTCTTTTGCATCGTAACCCATAATAAATTCGTTTAGAAAGATTCTCCAATGGTTCTCCAATAGTTATGTACGTATTATGTATAACCAATCAAAAATAAATGTACCTCATTCTTTATTAATCTTTTCGATGGCGTTCTTTTGCATCATAGCCTATAAGGAATTCGTAAAGGTTCTCCAATGGTTTCCCAAGATAAGGATGATACTTTTAAGAGCGATCCCAGCCCTCATACTTGAGTTATCGTCACTAAAATGAAATACCTGCCCCTTATTTTTGGCTATATCCTATAAACCTGCCAAGTTTCATCAGAATCGAAAGAGCGAAGCACTTCGTGGATGTTCCTTGTTAGAGTTTTACTGCTTTGTCCTCAATAGCGACTGACGTATTATAAAACCATCGTTCGAAGCTTGCACTCGGTACCATTGCCAGAAGTACGAACTTCCAACTCCAATATGATGAACGGAAGTTGAACACTCGGAAATACTAGCCACGATAGAAGTCTTCAAATATGATTCGTTAACTAACCACGAAAGTTCGTCGTTTCAAATGCAGCGTGAGAAAAGCAATATGAGAAATCGGAATTTCTGCAGAATTAGATACGATCGAGTATTACTTGGTAATTTTCCTAAAAGTTTCAATGCTCAAAAAAAAAGGGCGACGGATGATTAATCCTTCCCGTCGAGCAACACGGCGTAACCCCGAGCATGTATTCTTCCGTGTGGCAAGTCGAGCGTCCATTTCCAGCTGTCTCGTTCGGACGTCGGAGAGTAGGTTAATTAGGGTGTGGCCGCATACCGGCATACTTCAGTTGGAAATTTCTCGAAGCAACAGGTTGGCCGTACAGAATTTGATACGGCTGCGATAGCCTCTATATTTTGAGATATACTAGCGCTGAGCCATCGGATTCGGATTATTCTGATCGCGAAGCAAGAAACGACGCCACCAGTGCACGAAGCGACCCTCTATATTTGCCATTGAATCGTTTGATCGTCCCTGATCTCGATGATGCGCGATCGTTTGGTGTTCATTTTATTTCTAATATTTTCGATTTTTATATCTCAAAAATTTTTAAGTTCTAGTAATAAAAACAAAAATATTACGTATTCATGAGTAGAAGTATAGTAAGTACATATGTATATTAGGTGCACGAATTACTTTGTGCGTTTATGTTCAGTCATTTATCCCTCTGTGGGCCGAATTTCATTGTTCTACAGGCAATTTACAAGACTCTGATATTTCAAGTTGATGGTGCTGGCAAATATCATCGTAAGGACATTATATAATTATGACGTATGTGTCATCTTGCGAAATAGACTAAAATTATTTGTATTTCGTAAGAATGTCTAATCCACGCGAACAAAATTGTGCGAATAATATTTTATTAAATTCTTTGAAAAATGGCATCGTCCGGCCCGTGTCAACGTAATCCCGAACAGAACTTTCGTCGATGAGTTTGTCCGTTGTGGACGGTGAACCAGAATTAACAGGAGCGACCGCGACGGGCGAAAATGAAATTCCGCGCTTCCAAGTCCCTCTCGATGGTTTCAATTAAAGTTAATGTCGGATTCGTGAAAGTTTCGAACGACGAAAATTCCACTGCGTTTCCTCGCCGTCGTCGCGCTACCCCGGCGTACAAGAGTGGACGGAAATAATAATTTGATAGTCGAGAATAGTCTTCGAGAAATGTACTTACCTAGCAGATCGACCTCAGCAGCGCATGATCAGCGTTTGGTGCACCACGATCTTGGTTTACTTGTCTTATTGCGGGTGGCAGTGGTTTCCCAACATTTTGGCGGGCATCCTCCCTAAGAAAAGGAGAACAGAGGATTTGTATTACTTTCGTTCGAATTCATTTGGAATTAGATTGATTTGTTATTTATTATGATAGAAATTACTGAAAGAAATTTTAGTGTTGTCGATTCAATTACAATTTCTTAGATAATCAAGGCAGTTTTATAAACAGAGGGGGAGAAATTACAATTTACTAGGACTGTTCTGGAAACAGAGAAAAAAGTTTTTGGACCCGTTTGGGGTGGGAGGTGAGGCGACAAGAGAAAGACTATACCCAACATCGCGATGATCTATAAGATAGATCACGAGGAATGGCGAGAGACAAGTTTTCTGGGTAGAAAGGGGAAGGTGTTGCGATGGATGTACGATAAGCAGCCGAATATAACGGTAGAGCTTAAGAGCTTACCGCTGAAACTCCAAGTCGGATCAAGACGAAGGCCTAGGTTTTTAATGGACCTCGGGCGGATGAATAATGATAGTGTTAACAGTGAGAAAAACTGGTGGTAGTTTATCTGTAAGGAACGGCGATAGAACAAAGAGAGGGAGGATTTGGAAGGATGTAATCTTAGCCCATGCAAACAAGACCAGCTTGGAATCCTATCTGCGTCCAGTTCAAGTTTGCCAATAGCTGAATCGATATCGAATAGATCGAATGATTGGATTATTTCAGTATTCTGGCCATACATGGATACGTGCCACGAGAATTCGCAAACACGAAGAAGATCAGCATCGTCTGTGTGGATTAACTATAGTCTCGGTATGGATCCTGGTGCACCGATTCTCGGTGTCCTTCGAAATAGAAGGGATGGCTACCTTCGAAAGGGAAAATGGAAATATTAAAGTAGATATGTGATAGAAATATATGTATATGAGTATATTATATAAGGTACATAAATTTAATTTATTCTGTGCCATTTGGTTTTATGTAATAAACAAAATATTATAGCCACTCTTAGGAAAGTTTTCACGCTCATTTTACCCAAGTGCATGTATTCGAGATACACTTAATTAAATTCCTAAATCATCCATATAGAATTTATTTTAAAAAATAGTCTCAATAGATTCGCCACAGAGACGCGAGATCCATGATTCGGTTTATAATAAACAATTCTCTCGTCGAGGCTGACAAACAGCGATCCTAATTACCTATAATGTTTCTCCGCAGGCGTAAATTTCAGATGCTCGGCCAGTAATCCACTGGGCATCAATTAATCATCCCGTTTGCATAGGGACGCCATGTTGACTTCGCGAGAGCTGCTCACTTATGCAAACTCGGTTATCGATTTCTTCGTGAATCGCGCCTTGGGGTTACCCCGACGCAATAAGTTCCGGCCGTGGAACCCGCTAGACTTTATGAAAAAACTGGACAGGACTACTTTAGCCCGGAAAATAAGAAACTCTCCGGCTCGAGGGAAACTTCCGAGCGCGAGAGAAACATAAACGAGGGCTACGTGAACCATTTGCGTCAAATCGTCACGTATCGAACTTCTAACGTTGTCGCGAGTCAGAAGTGGAAATACTCGGTTCAGTTTGCTCGATTGTTAGATATATTCGGCACGCAGATGGTAACTTTCGCGAAGTTCGCGAAGTGGAATGTTTATCAGAGGAAATTGAAAATTCCTATGTGTAAGCGTAACGATTTACGATCCTTGCAGGGTTTACTTCGTTTTACATAATAGATTAGGCCTTCGAACGATTGAACAACGAAACAATGCATGAGAGGCTGAAGAAACAGTGCAAAACAGAAACGCAGCGTACGAAAATAGAAAATTACGTTGCGCGACAGTTAAACGCAGCCATGCAATGCATTTTGGGATAGAAGAGAGACATAAATTACGAAGTTATGCGGCATAACTTTCCACGGCTGGGTCCGTGTGTATTAACTCGTTCCACTTTGTGGATTAATTCCGAATTACGCCAACTTACCATGCACGGGTTGGTGGTTCCGAAAAATTTCAACTCGCTCGGATCCCTTCGTTAATTAACTATAACTCACCGGATGCTGATTCGACGAGTAACGCGCGTAAACATTGGCGAAAAACGTTTCTCGCGGGAAAAATTTGATGTCTGCTTCTGTTCTCTTTCTGTCTTGTGGGCAGCTTTACAATTTTATTTGTCTCTCGTGATTAGGGTGTACTGGTGAAAATAATGGGCCAGTAATTACTTACGTTTTTAGAAATAAATATTGTCATGGAAGGGACAATTTCAATCACTACGTCGGTGAAAATAATATCACAGCAATTGTTTACTATTTTAGTAGTAAATAATGTCGGTTGACGTAGTGGAAGGATCAGTTTCAATAATTTTTACTAACATGTGTATTGAATCGAAAATTTATGTTTGGACGTATGACGTCTGTACTTGTGTCACAACTCTGACACGTTGATAACCATCGATTCCAAACTGTTTTTATAATCCAGCATTGAAATCTTTTCCCCTTATAAATCACTCTATATTTCGAACTCGAACATAAATATTTATTGCCGTTTTAATGCTTTTCGTTTCAATGAAGATTTTCCATTTGGACAAATATCTGTCGCGATCTGTCATGTTACAGGAAAATATGGGCGAGACTTAAAATAACGAAAACAATGATTTCCATAAAAATTAGCAAAGGGACACATTTATATGAGGTCTACCGGAAGGTTCTGTCCGTTCCGGTTACAAGTTTCACCACATATGCGCATATTCATTAAAAATGATATACAAATTGCAATCACGCTGGCAAGATGTCAAAGATAATGATAAAAATTATATTATTCAATAAAATTTATTCAAGGTATGTGACATTAATATCCCAACAATAATATGAGTAATAATAACAATTATCAGATTTCGACTAGCTAAATTCATACTAAACTGTTTCCACGAAAACTAACAAACAATCGAAGTCCCTGAATTTCGAGAATTCCATATCAGCAACGTCGACGTTTGATTAATTACGTTCTCATTAACCAATCTCGTAGCACGAAGGGCTCGCCGTTCATTGTAAATTACATGGCCGCCATACAGACAGGCGAACGATAAATTCTGATTAGCCATTTTCTTTAATGGACTTTGGACCCCGAAACTACGGATCCTCGACGATTAGAACGGAAACGTCCGCTTAAGTAAATTGTTAACAATGATTCGCGCTGCGTCATTGTTTCCCATTCGAGAGTTCGATTCTGGGTCATGTCGTCCGGCGGATGACTTTAAGTGGAAAGTTGGCAAGTCACGACTCCGTGGGCGAGATCTCAAGTTCTCGCGTTGAAACAAGGTTCCGATAAAGAGGGGGAGGGGGCACGATGGCTAAAGCTGGCTTGCCAGCTAAGCACCGTTTCCTGAGCTTCGCTCGCTCTTGGCTCGGGCACTGCGTCATGGGAATCGTGTCGTCCGTTTAAAAATTAAATCGAACGGTTATCGAAGGTCTCCAGCCGCGGGAATGTACACGGGACAGTACTACATGCTGTTACGGTGAACGGTACGTCGCGAAACAGGTTATCGAAGCAGCTTAAGGATGATACAGTCACAAAAAGATGCTGCTACTTGTAATTTTTTCAAGGAAGTAGTATACTCTAGAACTTTTAAAGAATGTATTTTTTGTGGGGTGTTTTCTTGGAGTGTAGAACTTTGGGAATACGTTTGTTATATTTGTTGAATTTAAACAATTAATGAACGATTCGAAAATTAGGGAGACCTGTGACTGTTCTTTGATTCCCTGCATTTGTATCAAGTTTCATATACAGCCTCATACATTTTCGTACCCTCTATGTCTATTAAAGAAGTTTGTCTAAATTAAATGATGGGTTTGATGTTTTCAAATAAGTTTTTCATTATATATATATACAAGTGTAAAGTTTATTTATGTACATATTTATAAGGAAAGATTCATTTGAAAACATCAAACCCATCATTTAATATTACGAATGTTTATAGGACTGGAGTGTATCGTTAACAGAAATAACAAAGAGTTTTAATTTTCAATAATTCCTAAGAGTTCTGGTTTTAGCACTAGAGGCACTCATATGAATCAAGATGTTCCACGATTTTTAATTTCGTATAAATTTTTACCCTTTATTCGCAAAGAACTAAGCGCGTATTATCGTCGTCAACTTCTCCAAAAGTACAAGGTTAACGAAGATACGAGCATTGTTTCGAAATGTCAAAAAGTGTACTCTCTGGCATGAAAAGGAAAATTCGTCTGATTCTCGATGCACTTTGCCAGTATTAGTTTCTGGAATTCTTGGATATTTGTATTCGCGATATTTGCACGCTTCGTGTTAATATAATACGATGACTGCACGATGATTTCTCCTGGGGCTGGTGACATTTTGCTGCTTTGAGCATCCTTGTGCTCGTGCATATATTTCGATACGAGATCAGCTTGATTCATACCTATTCCTATCGCAACATTGCAAGTACCAACGAACGTTACAAATAAATATATTGGTATCAATTTCTGTTTATTCTAGCCTCAAAAATGAATTTCTGAAAGAAACGAGACAATTACTGTAGCCTGCGAATACCTAAAGAATACAGAATATTCATCGCACGTTTTTTATGTGGAATTTTTACTCGAACTGAACGTCCGTAGAGCTGCGGCCCCCGTTCGAAATCGATAGCGTAATGAAGCGTACGTGTTTCGAAGGCGCGGTGTGATGTTTTTAAGGCCAGCGGGCACGATTTACACGGTGCATGAGCATACGCGCTGTTTATATTGGCAGGAGATCTTTCTGGCGATAAAATCCGCCCGCGAACTGCGAAAATCCGAGGGGAACAGGCTAGAAAGTAATCGAACGTGAACCATCGAGGCGGTACAAAGTGTTCGCGCGCGATACATTTGTATTGCGATCTTGTCAAAAAGAAAAAAAGAACACTGACACACTGACATACAAACACATAAATACACTAACGGATCACCAAACAAACGCACAATACACCGACGACGTACGAGCTAACTGATACATTAATACACCAACGTGTTAATATAAAACACACACAACGCAGACTGACACGATACATACTAGCTACC